CATACCCTGCTGAAAAATTATGGTACCGATTATTCTATCCATATTACAGAGTTGCGAGACGCACTGTTAGCCTAAAAAACCAACGCAATGGCTTTGACCGAAGCTTAAAGCGGGAAATTTCAATGCAGAGTCCAATATTAGGTCATAAGCCTACTGTGTCTCTCACACTAACCACGAGGCCAGTAGAATCGAGTTCGTGTTGTAGATGTGTAGCAACAACATTGTAAACGCGTGCACAGTGTTTAAAGGATACTGCTTTTAAGTGAGGGATGCTTTTGTGTCCGTCGTATCTTTCATCTTGATATCTAACGAGATTCTCTTACTTTGTATGTCATTATCTTAAATGTAAACTGGAGAGTTTTCTACTTACTGTAAAGTGTCATTGAAATTTAACAGCATTAACTTAAGACTTCCTTTCTGCAGGGAAAAATTTCAAGCTAGATCTGACTGGCAGGTAAGTCCTAACGGTAGGAAATCTGTTGTTATTTATGTTGGTGGTGGTGGTGGTGCTGTTTTTTTTTTTTTGGCGTTAGTTGATAGGATTCTATGTTACTCTAGAAGTCCCGCTTAAGGGTTTGGTTATTCACCTTTGCACTTGCAGTTGTTTGCACATTGAATTAATTTTTTTTTTGCCTTTTTTTTCTTTCAGGCCAAACTATAACATTGGAGTCTTGGGGACTAGTATGTTGTACAATGTCGGAAACTCCATTTTGGCTTTTACGCCCCAAGTGAGTTAAAGACGCTTAGTCAATGTAAATCATATAGGAATTGTATCTTTTGGAGGCCCACTTTCCATCGGTTTCTTCAGCTAAACCACGCGGAATGTTGGACCAACACACGAAATAAAAAAAATCACTCGCCAAAGGCTTGTGATTTACTTTTCTTCTTGCTTCTTCTGCTTCTGCTGCTTGATGGGTTTTTGACCGATCCGAGCACTTGTGCGATAGTCGTTAGTCCTTTAACACACCTAAGAATTTGCATGTTGCCCGAACTTTGTTATGGTTTCGCTCTGAAACTGCTTGTTGATTAAAATATATTATTATTTTGACAGAAAAATTAACATGTTTTTCCGTAAGGAAACGACTGGAAACATTTGGGGGTAAACTTATTTTACTTCAGGTAGCGTACTCGCAAGGGTAGTCGAGGGCGAACTTGCAATGGGGCTAAACCTCCATAAACCTTTTAGTTAACCCAAAAAAAACATGACTTTCTTATTAAGCATTCTTTTTCTGTTGTTGTTTTAGATACTCGACTATCACCAGTTTTACTTAGCTCTTGATAATGAGTTTCTTGCTGATCGGATCAAGTCTCTTGTGGGTTTCCTCGGAGCTAATTGGAGAAGACTCGGAAGACCTATTCTCACAATGACCATCACTCACTCAATGTTGGGTATGTCGATACAGCTGGTCCTTACACACTTAGTGCTTAGTAGCTGTCGCAGAACTTAATTTTTATTCAGAGCAAATTCCTTTACCATGAGGAGGTCTTGAATGACGGAACATTCGGGAAGATTTCTTCTCTTTTTCTTGTTCTCGTTCTCTACAGCGCAAACATTATCTTTGTGACATTCACAAATCTTAAAGCCACAATTTTTATTAGGAAAGTTGCAAAGTAGCAACTAATCTATCGCCAAATTTGACCTTTTAAGGTCAACGTAAGCCAAACGGGAATATGATCGACCCATCAAATGTGTAACAGTAAATTTGATCGGACAATTCTACCTGTGTAGTCAAGGCTTTATCACAGTGATATTCTCTTATGACAAGTAATAGATTTTCTTAACCCTTTTAAGAGAATGACTCTCTAAATTCTCGCACTGAGCCCTGGTAAATCGAAGTCTCCACACAAAGGCATATCTGCACACAGACAGCGAACTTCGCTTTTAGCAAGCATTTTCAGTTATTTTTTCCCTCTGAACGCTTTTGAGAGGACAGTGATGAGCAGTTCAAAAGGCGTGCGTAGGATGGAATTTTCAAACTGTTTTTCTTCGTTCAGCAAGTTCTTAAGTGTGATTATGTTATTTTTAGAGGACGCCCTCAGTTCATCGATTTCCAAGATGATTATGATGTTGAGGAGTGGCTACATATCTGGTGTCAGGTAGGTTCTCGGAGCTTTGATTCATTATTATTATTATTATTATTACTATTATTATTATTATTACTATTATTATTATTATTATTGTTATTCTGGGAAACTCAAGCCAAGCCAGGAATACTGAGCCAAGAAGTGTTTAGCAGTTTTGTAGTCGACATTCTTTTGTACCGAATACGATGTTTTTAGACTTTTTATTAAGCAAGTTTTTAGCCTAGTTTTTTTGTCACATTTTTGAAAGTTAAACCATTATCTTGCTTTCTTCTTATAATAATTGATTATTATGTAAATAGGTATACTTTTTTTGCTGTTAGTAAAGAGCTATTATAATTATTTAAAAGTAGTAGTATTAATGTTATTGTTAACATTTAACTATCCAATTCGACTATCCAATTCGCAGTTGGTTTAAGTTTTTAATCTGAGGAATTAAGACTCGACCAGATTCATTCTAGGAAAGTTACTTTCATACGATTTCAATCGGGAGAATGTAAAAATGTTTGCACTCCAGAAACACAAATGTTCCCCCCTAGCCACGTGATGAAAATTCTAGCAATCTAACGTAAAATGTTTAGCCAGATGGTAACGATGGTTTAAAGGTGTCAGAGCTTTTTAACACTGAGTGTTGATAAACCAAAATCAAAGTAATCTCAACGGCCAATCAGAGGAGGGTTTAACCTCAAAAGCTTATAGAAATTCAAGTGATTGACAAAGTGTATTGCCTGCATCTGATTAGTTGAGAGATTGGGGCGTGGTCAATCATGGGGCGTGGTCAATCATAGAGCGTAGTAAAGTGTGACCCCAAAACTATTGCAATCCTGTATTACTTTCGACACTCAATCAAAAGTTGTTTTGATTTGATTTATCTTATAATAATATACATGCCCTACGGGCTCATGCAATTTTGTTAGTCTTTGAAAAAATTTACTCGTGCTTATTTATTCCAAATTGCACTCGAAATCATGTGATTACCTATACAAACAAACACGTTCTGTTTTGAACAGGGTTCGTCTTGGTTATCTGTCAGATTTTATGAGCACGTCTTGTATTACCAGTCTGCATTTTATTGAAGACACTGAAGAGGGTAAGTGTGTTTAAAATAACACTTGGGCGAGAGTTTTAACTTTGCATACAAAATATTTTGTGGGTTAGTCGTAGCCATTTGTTGAAAGAATGTGTATTCATTTTGGTGTACAGCTCATATACTTGGATACTCTAACTACGCAGGATTCTTTATTGCCTCTATTACTTATTTTATCTCAAGCCCTTTTGAACCCTGAGATTGACTAGCGTTTAATTTCTTGTTAAAATATCAGCCTTAAATCAAACATTTAGCTCACGAGAATGATGGAATTGGTCACCAACTGAATCATCTCTTGACTGTTATACAAATTCTTCTTGTCAGCACCTTCAGAAATGTATGGAGGTCGATATGTAGAATATTCATTCTGTTTTTAGGGTGTAAAGGGTTAAAACGGGTTATTTCCTCGTCTATGATAATAGTTCCGTCGTTGTAACGAGTGGAGTTTTTGTTCATGCAGTTTTCAGGAGACACAGAAGGTTACGAGGACCCAGTGACCTGCTGCTACGAATTGATTCTGAGTCTACTACATCGGGAAGAGTAAGTTAGAGTGCTAGGTACACTGAACTATTTTCTGCTTGGTAGGAATAAAAAAAAAAAAAAAAGAAAGGAATGAAAAATTGAAATATTCTATTGGGTTAGACACACACCAAATAAGTAAAGGTATACCCCAATGATTGGGAGGCGGAGGGAATTGGAAAAGATTATGAGCTATGTTAACTCACGCAGAAGGCTTCCGGGTCTGTCTATGAACACTGACTCGGTTATTCTGTTATGTTCCTAGGCAAGACACTTAATTTTCACAGTGCCTCTCTCCACCCAGGTCTAACCATCACCGAAGCCTGAAGAAATGCTGGGTAGGTTCGAGGAAGTCAGAGGAAACGTCCCGTCCAAGGGTTGGGGAAGCAATAAGACCTTTCTTATGCAAAGTAAAAGTTTAAATATGCACACTTCTCCCCTTACGTTATTTAGAAAAATTCTCCGTAAATGATATTTCCCGGGTGGAAATGATAGGTCTCGTACAAACACCTCTTGAGTTCGTCTTCTTGTTAGGCAAGCCCAGACACAAATGCCTTGTTGAATGAATTTCTTATCAACTTTGTCTTGATAACGTTGGTACAGAATCGAACTTGTAGCGGTGCTGGTCATGATCCACTAAGAAGAAAATCGAGTTACAAGGGTTTGGTTAAAAGAAGTAGAAGCATCTCAGTGTACTATGAGCCATCAGGTGGTACATCTCGTAAGTTACTCTTAATGGTTGTTTGATATTCAGTTATTTCACGACGTTACGAAACGTCTGCAGATAAAGATATCCTCACATGCTAATGTGTCAATCAACCATTCAGTTGCAAATTTAAAACCAATTGTTTGTTGGTCACCTTTTGATTTCCCGCACCAGAGCCGGCAAAATCTGTTTAGGAGATATTTTGGCTTCTCTTGGTTTCTGATTGGATGATCTAATTACTATAGAGATTATTTTACTGACACTCAACGAAAATCATTCTAATTTCAAGTTTCCCGTGTTTATTCCTGATCAGTTCTGTTTCTTATGAAGAAAAACTTCATCTCTACTAATTTTGCGCACTATTTTAAGAACAAACCTTTAGCACATAAAACAATGTGTGTGCTTCACCTTATTGTTACACCATTAGCTGATTAATTAAGTAGATAGCCTTGAGAAGCAAAGTTTGTTGGTCTACTTCTTGCGTAAACAATAACTTTTTTTTTCAGTAAGTATTGTACGTGGCTTTGAGTAATGCATGTATGTTAAATTATTAAAACACGCACTTCAGAGGTAAATCTAACACTTTAAACATGCAAGCGATGCAGGCGATGTCTGTGACTTTGTTCGTAGTGCTATTGTTTACTTTTCTGTTCAATGAAATATTACGTGACTTACGTGAGTGCATGTATGTTTATCACATGATATTCATGCGACTTAAAATGATTCCACAGTATTGCACTGCGCATAACGCTGTATAATTAGGCGAATTAGCACGCGCAAGTTTCGAGTACAGAGCGAATTTGTTTCTTTCTTTGTTTGTTTTTTAACAAAATACGAAGTAAACAGCTACGATGGTCTTTTGCCCTTGAACGAGCACGGTGACTTATACTAAGTCCTTTAAATTAGAAAAATTACAGAAAAAATAGTCACAAGGAAAAAAAGACATAGCTAAAAGCGTCTCTTTGGAAATGACCAGAACAACCAGACACAGTGTAAGGTGGTCGAATATTCATTTCCTCTTTATTATGTCGTTGGTCGGGAGAAACATCAGAATATCCTGGAGTAGGTCAAGTTAACTCTCGAAAATCTTGAGTTCGAAGTTACCTACCCCGTGTTAAGCTATATTTTGACGTTTTTCTTTGCTAAACGAGTGTCTTTGAATGGAATCCCATTAATGAATCTGCATGTTAAGTTTCAATCTGCCCTATCATCGACCAACATAGTGCTATGCACTCTGGGCATTCTTTGGGAAACCTCTTTCACGTGATCGTCCTTTGATCAATCTTTCCCTTCATGTGTTACGCACTCCACTAACATGCACTTGTCACGTGAGTTTCAGCGACTCGCAAGTCATCTCAGTGGGCTTCACCTGACATTGATGAGGACTGTGGCCCATCATCACCTACTTGGAGTACCGATCCAGGTACTAAGAGGGCTATACATTTCCTATTTCAGTTTCCCTCCTTTTATTCTATTTTGTTTGCTTGTCTGTTTTGTCATGTTGTGTTCGATTCTCTTGTGTCAGTGTTGGGAAAAGATCTTGATATTAATTTTTGCACGGTAAGAAATCGTGAGATACTTTGGAGAGAGAAGCAGCTTCAAAGGTTATTATCATTGTTTAAGCTCATACTTTTGCAAACACCAAGAGAGGTAAATTTTCTTATTTTAGTAAAATATACTCATCGTTACACAGCTATCGGCAATGACTAGTCAACAAATAGTTTACACACATCACACATTGAGCGTTTGTACTTTACTTCTTTCATGAAGCTTTTAGAAACGAGATCTTTTGTGATCTCTCCTGTAACTGGCAAGTAACCTTGCTTGTACTGACCTCCTTGTATAGTTTGCTTCAATTTAACAAAGGCTCTCAGGAAGAAAGCAGAGCAGCAACCAGAGATTTTTAATGTGACGATCTTGCGCGCATTGGGCTTTTTCTTGTTAACATTCTAAACAAGTTTATTTGTAATGAACTAATTATTACCAGTGTAATCTGTTCCTTAATGAAGTTCATCTTTAAATTTAAAATATGAAAGGATGATATAGTGCTGGATTTTATCTTTAAAAAAGTAACGTAACAACTACTAAATAAGTGGCAAACCTAACACTATGATATTGCGTAGGTAATAGGTAACGGTATGATAATTTTTTAGCAAACATGAAATAAAATTGGTGGAATAACAGAATACTATACAGCTATAAGATGTTGGCGCTCTAATTTAAAGATAATAAAAGCCTATAATGAAGGGAAAGTATTGTTAACTTGATTTGCTTATATCAAAACGCTGATGAGGCATAATATGCATTTAACAGGTAACCGTATAACGCGTTTGAAATCTCTTACTGCCTGCTTTACTCAAAGTGCATGAAAGCTCTCGAGTTTCACGGATTTTTTGGAAAGCTTCATTTATATTCAGTTTTACTTGTCAAACGTGTCACATGTAGACCCAAGAAAGTTGTACGATATACTTTCGAGCCGGTGTTTACTCAGGCAATTGCAGAGACGTTGACATGTAAAAGTATTAGCCGTGAACCATGAAAGCCAGTGGCGTAATGAAAGAAGGTGTACATGTTAACGTAGAGAAAGATGGAAGCCATTCACGATTTCCTGAAAGAACAAAAAAAATTATCATTGCGAAGAGTTATAGTTAATAATGAAAAGGTTAATTATTGGTTCGGTAATTGAACGAACACTGCTCTTAAAGCTGTTGGTTCTCTTCCCTACGTTTAAGTGGCAACGTTTTAGCAATCGAGAGTTTATACTTCTGGTCACGGTCCGCGACGCAGTGATTCTTGATAATATTATTTGTCATTCTTTCCTTCTCAAATTCAGTTCCCGGATGTGAGGCATTTGAAGATCGCGCAGCTAATGGTTGGACACCAGCCAGGTCACGTGCCATATCCACTGACGTCGAGATGAAAGAATTATTGTTGCAACTCCAGGAAGCAGAGACTATTGATGCCCAAGCTGACATACTGCATTTCTTGTATAATACAAGGTACAGAATCCTGTGAATGTTGAATTATCTCGAAGTACCTAACCTTAGAGGAAGGAAGTTATCTTACCAACACAGCAAGTAATTTTCATGCAACACAAAATACCAATATAACCAAACAAGGGCTGCTTACTTTATTTGTTGATTTGTTTAAGTATTCGTTATAGTACAAGGTACAAGCTACTAGGCGAATAAGCAATTTGACTCCGGGTCCCCTGTGAGGTCTACCGCCAACCCAACCCCAACAAAGTTTCCCATAATCCTAACCCGACTCACTCCAATTACAAACTGGGTATAGAAAATGAACTAAGGGGCGCTTTCCATTTGACCAAAATTTTCGAGATTTCCGGGCTGAAATCGAATGGAACGGGAAAAGTTCCGGGATAAGTTTTCGTAAATTTAGGTTCCATTCGACCAGCGAAAAACAGTTCCGATATTCTGAACCGGTGATTTTTCTTGAATGGAAAGCGTCCTAAATGTAATGTGATAAAATTAAGAATAGGCAATATAATATTATGAATAATTTTGGAAAATGAGAAACTTAACTGTGATGAAATTTTGTGGGCCGAGGCCAGGAACGTGTTCGATAATTGAGTCAGTTTGCTAGACATAACGTCTCGTACGTCGAACGTGACTACGAGACGTTATGTCTAGCAAACTGACTCAAGAAACTTAACTGGGGCTGGTATACATTGAAAGTTTCCTGTTCACATAACTGTTTAGTTTTTTTAACTTTGATCTGCTGTTTTGAAAAGGATATATTGGTATTGTTTACTGATATCGTTCATTTGATATCATTAATGCTTCTCTGTGAATTATACAAAGAATTTGGCTCTTTTTACTTTGATTCACCAGAGGTCCAGATTTCGACACTCAACTTTTCGGTGCGCGAGGAGTTACAGTGCGAAAACTCCTAGGAGAGCTATACGAAAAGGTGTATTAATTTATTGAAGAAGTAATATTTTAACTTTGGATTCACCCATTAAATATTTCAAACACGAACGGCAGTCAAATGTCAAGTCGAAGTTTCGATTCCCCCCTTTCGTTTGTTGATTAAGAAAACTGAATTTGTATCTTACTCATTTACTAAACTTTTCTCTGTTGCGTTATTTTTTAGGCTTGTCAAAGTAAATTATGGTCTTTAGTGCGACACACTGCGGGGCTTCTGAGAAAACGAGTGGAAGATCTAGCCGAGGTACATTGTTTATGTTCAATAACCTTCGTTCTTACGACAAGCACAAATGTTGTGTTCGACGTTGCTGTTGTTATTGTTTGGTTTTTATCCTTTTATGTTTCCTTTGTATGTTTTAAAACAAGACATACACCCAAGCTACAATGTGAAGTAAGACATTTTGACACATTACTTTGGATTCGAGAAGAGGTTATCCTAATATGAGTACCCGACAGCGCTTCAAGCTCTCTCTCATTTACCCATTATTTCAGCTATCAATTTTAAGTAGAAAGTCCTGATGATGTTTTCCTTTTCTCTTTACCAGGCTGCCACGGAGCTTTTAGTCCACCAGAAGCAGCTGACTGTAGGGATCCCCCAGGGAGGACATGAAGAGGTCATAACAAGGTGAATCTCGACGGGGTTGTCATTGTGCATTTGTTTCGTTATTTTCTATTCCTTTTCTTTTTTTTATTTTAGCAGTAACTGGGGTAGTGTGGGTGTCCTTTTGATGCAAAAAAAAGAATAAAAGATGAACAAAAAAAAAGTCGATTTCAAATGTGCTTTGAGAATTTTTCTTCATGATTGACCTGTAAAGAAAAATCCTTTCTCCGGTGATATCGAACAAAGTACTTGGTAGACCGCTGAAATTCTTCTTCGCAAAATGGGTCGTCTTTTTTCTGTACTTCTTGCCTCTGCACAGGGATGTAACTCGGAATTCCACTCGATTACTTTCAGGATAAATGTTGCTTTTATTTCAATCAAACAGTTTCATAACTCGGTGCTTTGAGAGGGGGGCATTATTCTAGTATCAAGCAGTCCCATCCATGTATATGAAAGAGGCGAATTGAATTGCCCTCTTCTCTGTCTCTAGATTTGTGAGGTTTTGCTACAGTGATGTAATTATTGTTTTGTGTTTTTTTTTCATGGCAGACCCCTTCCGCAAGAAGAAATGAAAAATATAATTTTCAATGTTTTTGGGGAAGATATGAGCACTGGTGTTGTCACTCAGGTAATAGGCTAAACTGTGTGCGCACACCAGTAACAGTAGTAGTACTTGTAATAGTAACAATGGCAGTATTGAAATTCAGTAATTGTGGCTAAAATACAGCACTGATAATAATAATAATTATAATGATGATAATAGTAATGATTATTATCATTATTATTAGTATTATAGTATTATTATTATTATTATTATTATTATTATGAAAAGGTTTGATTGTAATTGGATTTTAATTGAAATCGGAACTACTATCAGGTCGTTTTTACCTTTAACTTGTAAATAGTTATTTGCTTTGAGTATTAATAAAGTTTGATATTATTAAATTACTATTATTTCTATTATTATTATTACTATTATTATAGTAGTATAGGATGCAATATTTGTTAATCTTGACCGTCAATAAATTGTCGGTTTAGTACTTTTTCCCCTTCTACAATTTTGCTTCATTTTGGGTTGTCACCATAGTTTTGTTTAGTTCTTCGTCCCGTCCCACGTAGAATCGCCCTTGTTCAGTTTTGGTCGAACATTAACAGTCTTCTTTATCACCAGGAACTGTTAGTTTATCTTGGGATATTTGTCAGGACTGAACCATCGCTATTCAAAGAGATGCTGAGGCTTCGAGTCGGTCTGATAATAGAAGTTATGGTGGCTGAGTTGGCGAGATCCATGGATTGTTCCGGTCAGAAACTGAAAGAATAGTTGTCTGTTTTTTATTCATTTATATATATACTTTTTTATCACCGGTCGGTTCTTCCCCCATGGCACCTGAACTTCCGTTTATAACAGATGAGACACGAAATTTAGTCTATTTATGTATGTCCAACCTTTGCGACGCGTTATCGGGAACCTGATCAAATGCAAACAATATACTTTCCCGGAAATTTTTTCCTCTATCTACTCGAAACACAGCTTTTCCATATTTTTCTTAGTCTGCCTTGCTGGCTGTTTTGGGAGAGTTTGTGGCAGGGAAGTTGCGAGAGGAACATGAGGAAACCATCCCTCTCGTTTCCACAGTCCCTCTCAGGCTAACCTACCTATATTTTACAAGCCTCAAACAGTTTTGCATTTGATCAGTCACAACTGACAAACGTTACTGGAGTAAAACTGAAAGAACAAACAAATAACAACACCGACCAATCATTGGTTAGTTATTATTTAGCCACTGCACGTGCTGCGCTCTAAGATGTAGCCGTACGCGCCTTTCAGGTGAAGATGCCGCTGAGTTTTTCATGAACTTGAGCCCTTTCGAGATGAAAACTCTCCTGTATCATATTCTTAGCGGAAAAGAGTTGGTCGTTTCAAGTGGTAAGTCTGATTTATTGCTTTGGCTTTCGGGTTCGTTTGGATCATGAAAAGCTGATAAGTCATGGAATTTTATTTCTAGGCCTCGAAAGTCGAGATATTGAACTGTAGATCATGAATAAAAAGAAATAAAGGGAATTACCATGAAAGGACTGCTGATCTTGCAATCCAATATTAACCAATTTCGAATAACGAAAAATACTAACAGACTGTTCTAAAAATAATTTGCGAACACCTCTCCTTTTTGTCGTATAAATGTATGTGCGTTTTCTTTCTTTATTTCTTATTTATTTATATCTATATTTTTTTTTGTAGATTTGTCCTACGACAACAAGAGCACACCAGAGAAACAGATCTCCATCGTAAACGTCGACCTCCCGAAGAGGGTTGGGATCAAAAAACTGTCCAGTGCTATTAAGGTCAGTCTTCATTTACAAAGAAAATTAATATCATTCGTAAACGTAAACCCTTCAATTTGTTTTATTTTATTTTAGTATATACCACACTCGTGAACAGTGCTTTTCTCGTGCGCTGATTGGCTAGTTCGGAAGTGAAGGGCAAGTACTCTTTACCTCCACTTCGGTGGATAGTTGTTAATTTTTCTCCCCTTTAGCTGCATTACTCTCGTGAACAGATTTGTTAAAGAAAGTCGGCGCTATTTTCGAGAGAATACACTTCAGCTGAGAAGTTTGTCTCTACCAACTGATCACGGGTCAGCTGAGTGATTAGCAGTTCTGCAAGTTGGCAGAACTAATAGCTTATCTACCAGGGGATCACCACTTGTTAAATCCTATTCTATTTTCTTCTTTAGCTGCATTATATTCGTTAAAATTTTTTGAAGGAATTAGGTGCTATTTTAAGAGAATGTTCATCAGTGAAAAGTTCGTCTCTCTACCAACTGATCACCAGTCAACGATGTGATAAGCAGTTCTGCAAGTTGGCAGAACTAGCAGCTTATTTTTCTACCATTGGATCACCACCAAACCGGACAAAATCCATCTTTATCTTGTTTTCGCTGTAATAAAAATCACCGGAAAGACTGTCTCCTATCAAGATGCAGTTGCTGCCTGGTTTTCTTCTTTCAATTGGGTGCACTTTCGATAGGGGATACTTGCTTCGAAGATAAGACCACGGAAAGAATAGCTTTGATTGGGTGCTCTTCGTCGCTGTTCATAGTGAGGCGGGAATTATCACATTTGTCTTAACAAGAATAGGGATTGCTTTTCAAACGGGCAAAATCGCGCGTAGATTTGGTCTTCTTTGGACAGTTTCGTGTGGGCTAGCTTTCACCTACAGCTGTAGCGGTGTACTAATGAGTGACGTGATACTGAAACCGCGTCTATTGGGGGCTACTTAAATTTTTCTCTCTTTTCCTTTGTTTGTTTCGTTTTACTTTTAGTTTTTGCTATAATGAGTCGTCTATTTTCTTTTTATTTTCTTATTTTTTGGTTCCACTTTGCGTTCCTGTCTTTCTTGTGCTGAAAAATCTTATTTCAGGTTAGGTTAGACGAAGTTTTCTGGCCCATGGTCTGTTGTTGAGAAGCAAAGTGTGTTTTTATCAAAACTTTTCTAGGAAGTTTCGTGGCTGCACCATCTACGGTTTAACAGCACTTTTTCATATTTATCAACAGAAAATAAGCTGTATTAAAATGTTTGCGGGGAAAAGTATGGTATGTTAGCAAATGATTTCTGTTCTTCGTCTAATGTTCTAAGGGTGAAGGGAAACAACATCGTTTTAGAATGCTTTTTGCTTTGCTCACGAGTTTTCCGCAGCAAAGAAGTCTGTTTAATATTGACAATAATGCTAGCTAATGATCTCTTCCTGTCCTTTTGCACTGTAATGACTAATGGAAGTTGAAAACACTAACGAAAAACAAGCGATAACTTTAGTTTTGGAACTTACTTGGCCCTCGGCCCTCCCGCCATTTCAGTCTCCCCGAAACATCAGGCGAAACGGGAGAAACTTGCCAAAATGCTACACTGTAAACTACTACTTATTTTCTCTCAGTGTACCTTATCTACGGAAGCGCTTATAGTGCCTTGCGAAAGCTGCTGTAACTTTCTTTAAGATTCCTTGACCGTTAGCAAAAGTCAAATTATATTGAAGCTAACGCGATAGGGTAAATGATGCAACGGCATTAATGCTCTAATGTTGTGAATGTTATCAGAGGGGGTAATAGATTTTAACCATAAATTGCATTAAGGCTAACGCGATGATGCTCCAGAAACGGGAGAAATCAGCCAAGTTACCAAACTACCAGATATTTTCTCGGTATACCTTTTGTACTGAAGCGCATCTAGTGCATTGCGAAAGCTGTTGTAACTTTGTTCAAGATTCCTTGACCGCGACCCCAAATTGCATGAGCCAAGTTACTAAACTACCAGATATTTTCTCTCAGTGTACCTTTTCTACTGAAGCGCTCATAGTGCATTGTGAAAACATTTGTAACTTTCTTTAAAATTCCTTGACCGCTACCTTAAATTAAATTGCAATAATGCTAATGCGATGATGCAAATGGTGCAACGGCATTAATACTTTAATGTTGTGATGGTTATTGAAGGGGAAAATAGATTTTAATCATAAATCGCATAAAGGCTAAAGCGATGATGCAACTGAAACGGGAGAAATTAGCCAAGTTACTAAAATACCACGCATTTTCTCTTGGTGTACCTTTTCTACTGAGGCGCATCTAGTGCATTACAAAAGCTTTTGTAACTTTCTCCAAGATTCCTTGACTGCTACTATAAATTAAATTGCATAAAAGCTAACGCGATGATGCAACTGATGCAGCGGCGGTAATACTCTAATGTTGTGTTTGTTATCAAAGGGGAAAGTAGATTTTAATCAGTTAAGATCAAATAAACATGAATTGGATAACTAAGATGATGAATATCGTAAATCTGTTGTCAATCCTACATGGCTTGTCTTTTTTGTGGAAGTTAACCTTTGATTCCTGCTACTTTGACCGTGTTGCGCCTTTGTTTCACGTGGCGTTGCTGTCGTTTCCAGTCTGCAAAGAATAAAGGGGCTGAGTTAATAAAGAAACTGTGGTGCTTGGTCAGTGGGGGTATTTCATGAGAATTTAGTTGACTCATTTGATAGAAACCAAATTATGTGTAAAGAGACTGAGTGACGATTGAATCTCAAGTCTAGCATTTATCTAGAGAGGTAAGAATATTAATTTTCCATCGGTGACTTGACACTAATAATTGAAGTCTCGTCAAACACATCCTATCGATAACATGGCACATTCATCGCGGAAACTTAGATCAACTGAAGTATCATTATACACCTGCTAATACTGTGCACGAAATTGAGACTGATAATGAAGTCGAATACAGTAGTAACATAAAAATGTGTTTTGGATTTTAAAGCATATGAGTGGCAGAGGATTGTTGCCATCACCTGAGCAGAAGAAGTTGGAACCACAGAAAGATAAAGATGACGAAGACGAGGACCCTCAGGACCGTCTTGGGCAGTGGATCAGGCGAAGGTGCCTTGATGGAGCACTTAATCGAGCCCCTGAGGATTTTTACCCTAAATTCTGGAAAGTACTCGAAAAGGTACCACAATCTGCAAATTTGAAACTATATGTTTAAAACTTGTACATTTATGATATTTTCAGCAACTTGGGTGACCTTTTGAATGTTATTTTCTTATTTTCATTCCTGTAGTGTCGGGGTATGACAATTTACAAGCATTATCTGCCGAGTACTATGGTCCAAGAGGTATGCAACCGGTTGAAACCTATTTTCTAGCGTTATTTCCTTGGGTTTGCTTTACTGCGATATTCGACTGGCTTATGAGGCTTATGCACCCTACTCTGCGAGTTAGATGCAAGTCTCATAACCAACTCGCGTTTTCCCGCTCCTGAGATCGATGACGTAAATGTTATCTGATTTCTCCCTAGCCCCGTTCTGATATACTTGCTTTTATTGTGATTTGTCTTTGCTCCAGTTCAAAATGTAATGTTGTATTAGCCTGATGAGCAGGCGCGATTTTGGCGAGCGAGTGCTCAGTATTTTTCGATGAATGTTTTAGCTGTCATCTTTAATTTTTACAGCAGCAGAACGGGCGCTTTAACTCTAAATCAAACAGGGCCTGCCGGGTAAGCGATTGCGAGCTTGTAACGTTAACTCGCCTGCACTGCAGGTCAGGCGCTTCTTAATAGGAAGAACATTTTACTTCGATTGTAGCCACACAACAATCAAACAACTGAAAAAGTTTCACGCGGAAACAGGTGGCAAGAAATTATATTAAATGCGCTCTTGATGAATCACATGCTTATCGTAATATCTTGTTCACAGAAAAAAAAAATTTGATCTCAGTAACAATTATTAATCCTCGTTCAGCAGTTTCAATCACACAATGCTCCTCTTTTTCCAGATGACTCCAGGAGAACTGAAATTCGCGTTGTGTGTGGAAGCTGCCCTGAATCGCATTCCAGAGCCGGAGTATCGTCAACTTGTGGTGGAAATGTTGATGGTGTTGTCGCTTGTGGTTGAGTATCATCCAGAACAGACTTTGGGAGACACTATTGATGTTGATGAACTTGTTTTCGAGGGCCACAGTTTATATCTTAAAGACCAGGTGGGTGAAGAATAGTCGTTTTTGTTTTCTGTGCGAAATATGCTTCGTCCACATCAACAAATAGCCTTAAGTATCGGTTTGGAAAACCATATTTTTTTGTTAGCGTGGAAGTCATGGAGGCTAAGGCGTGGTTTTGGAATTCTTGCGTTCACGCTCCAAAGTAGCCTAGGCAGCTGTTTATGATAATTACAAAATCAAGGAAACAGAGCCTGTTTCCATCTCTAACTGGACTTTTTTTGACAGTCGCTAGGGGTCTTGGAGAGCCGAGATTTTCGTAATGTTACAAACACTTATGGCGGTTTTACCGCGAAAGAAATTAAATTTGAGTCTGGATTGGTGCTAATCGAGTTTCAAAATAAAAAGCCTGACGCCAAAATAGATCAGTGGGGAAAAAATCATTTTTTAAGCATGAGAGCAAGTCAAAGCGAGCCAAAGAAAACGTCGGCGACAAATACAAGACAGACTGCCCCGAAGACCTTGTGACCGAATCACAGTTTGTGTTGTTGAAGGGTTGGAGCAAGTGCTGAATTCGTGCAGGAATACAAAATTAATCTCTTTCATCATTACATCCAAATTAACATGTTTAAAGTCCATTCTCCCATGTCGTGTTATTTCAGATGAACATCAAAGGTGATTCCACTGTGTGTTGCGCTCGTCTTCTTCATGAAAAAATCAGCTGTGGCGGAGCAGCAGGCCTCTGTCGATATTTCTACGACACTGCTCCTAGTGGACGGTTTGGAACCATGACATATTTTTCACGAGTTGTTGCCAAGCGAGTCAGTAATCTTCCACATCAGAATGAGTGTGTGGTTGCTTAGAATTAGAATTGTTTGCTTAGAATTAGAGACCATGACATATTAGAGACCATGAAATATTTTTCACGAGTTGTTGCCAAGCGAGTCAGTAATCTTCCACATCAGAATGAGTGTGTGGTTGCTTAGAATTAGAGACCAATTTAGTGCAAAAAAAAATTAATTTTTTTTTGTAATTTTCGACCGCCTTTTTTTCCTACGTTTTTGTTTACTTCCTTAATATTTCTTTCTATAAAAAGTTTGCCACTCCATTTTGTGTAAAAAAGAACAGCGGAAAATACCAGGTATAAAGCTGTTTGAAGGGAGTAAATTTCTAAAGAAGCTGTGGTGTTGCATCGGTAGGAGAATATAACGAGACAATTTGGTTGTGTCAATATTAACTTGATAATGTAAATGACCACCATAAAGAGTTTCTAAAGCCGACGTTGTCCCTTTGGTGTATTCTCTGTGTATATTATCAACTTAGTTGATAATACCAAATTCTCTTAACAAGCTGTTAAGCTGAGTTGAAAACCCAGGAAATGAGTGACGTTATATTTATTTTGTACTAAACGTGAAAGAAAAGGTCTTTAATTTATGGCGGGGTTCTACTGTACAGAATTTTGTTTACAAATTTTGTGGAGACTTCTTCAAAGCAAAATGGATTATTTTTCCGATGACGCTCTCCCATTCGTTTTTATGTTTCACCTAAGCCAATTAGTATTCAGGCATTATGAAGCAATACTTCCTCATTTCATTCGTAAGTAAATAGCACCACGAATTTGTCCCACTTCTGACAATTACTTCATATATTTGATCAATAAAATTTGATTTTCTAAGTGGTAAGAGAAGGATGTTACGTTCCCGCAACCGGGTGCGTTTGGTTTCAAAAGGGAAATTCCCCTTGGCTTTTATTCACTATCTCGACGTCGTCGTAAGGGCATGCTTATCGCCAGTTTCTTGGCTTATTGTAAACAACTTTGACAGCTTCCAACAACGTGTCAGCAGAGAGGCGTGATTTTGGTGGACTACCACATGAGTCAATCATGGCTGGCGTATCATCTTTTCAAAGCTAATGTAACTCGCCGAACAGAAGTTGGTTGCAAATTGAAATATTAGTAGAGTTTCCATTAATTTCAGTCGTAAAAGCTAAATATTTTATTAAATCGTCAACGTAATTAGCTAAATTGTAGTCCGTGGCCTCAACGATGTTAAGAGAATGATTTCCAGGAAAAAGCGTTTTAGAAAAGAAATGCGATTTGGCTGTAAATAATTACGCTTTCGAAAATTTCACTGTTAATTGAAATGTGCGTGCTAAGAAAGATTGAAATGCAATTAACATTTCTCGGGGAAGGGTTTCCTTTCTTCAGTGTTATTTCTTTCACTTCTTATTATTTGTTGCCTATCAATAGCTTCGGTGTTACTTTCCTTATCACAAGAAAATGTTTCCCAGGAGAAGTCTGACACATCTTGCACCGCTAAAATTTCTTTCTCGAGGACACGAAAACATCGGCCATGCTTAAGGCATAACTCACGCAAAGTTTTCGTGTTCACGGTGCGGAAGCTGAGATGTTCTCCTTATAACGTCCTCTTGTGCTGGTACAGGAGGTCGCAAACTCAAGTGCGTGACATATCACCGTTACCAGCGTAAACAAGTCACACGATTTGGTTTTTTTTTTAACTCCACATGTTTCAAGGAAGACGAAATTGACCTTTGTCTCATGTAACAGTCCATAACTCTTTGACAATATCTTCTTAACTTCTACATATAATTTGTTTATATTACTCTTTTGCATGATAGAGTAGAACGGAAATAAACTTTCAAACTGAAGCGAGTGCGAAAGTTGGGTGTCGCTTCGGGCATTTAACCAGAAAAGTTATGTGTCAGTCTGCCATTTAGCGCTAGCCATTATCCACTCTGTTTATGGGGAAGAGCACCGAAGATGGAGTCCAAAGCAACTAAGAATTCGCAATTTCTTGTGTTTGGCCTTTTATTCAATTTATTCCTAACGTTAGGCACACTTGGTTTCACGTGTTATTCTCTGCATCGATCATCGAAGTTGGACTCGCGTTTGACAACACTTGAGCAAAATTCACTGCTTACAAATCGTCCGTATCAGCTTTCCAATCCTGTTTCTGATTCGCCAACATCTGCACTTTTTCGTCGAAGTGGGTCTCTAAAGAAAGAAACAGGTGGCATTAAAAGATCTGCTAAACGATCCTCCATGTGCCACAAATGTAAAACCGTCTGTGTGAACTCGAATGGCCACCGAAGGGTAAGTTTATTATTTTTTTCTTCTATTTTTTTTTTTCCTTTATGTTTCACAAATGCCCTTGGACCCTCTCAGTAATATTGTGAACAGCTAACCAAATTTATGTTTGCATGGATTTGATAGAAGAGAACTCCAAATAGGGTGTATTAATCGAGTTAACAAGTAATTACCGCGTTAACCAGAATTTGACTAGTTGAAATATGAGATAGCGGTATGTGTCATGCAATCCGTTTTAGCCACAAGGAAAGACGCTATTGCAGCAACTTCCTCAATGTCTCATTTCTCACTGCTTCAGCATTCGTTTTGGCAATACTTTATTTGATATATTCAATACTGTTTTTTTCAATGGTATACTGTTTTATTTTGGCCCGCGCGCTTATCATTTTCACTAACTCCTGTAGAGAAGTGATCGAATGAAAAAATGATTTTTTCCCCTTTCTTTTATTCTTCAATCCTTAGAATTTGACTGGTCTGGAAAATATCGTATGCGTTGAGGGTAAGAGCTTCATCTTATGCCCTAGTACTTCGTCCATCACTATGGAGCAATGCTGTTGTAGACAAAAAAGATACAGCGGATTAGCATGAAAAAGCTCTGTAAAACATAAGCTGGATCGCTACCACAGTTAGCACGAACAAGAGCATGTAACGAGGTTATATTCTTCAGATAATAATCGAGAACATTTCTTATTTTATAAACTTGTGTATGTGATAAGAACATTACGTTAACCATGATAACTGCCATCTCGTCCCCTCTACCGAGCTGAAAGAAATGAGACCCAAGAAATTTATCATGCGCTGAAACACGAGATCAATGAACCTCACTATTCTGCACCCATCATTACAATCGATATCTGCTGTTTCATTTGCAGCAACAGTTTCAGTGATCGATCGACTTGGCTTAACGTGCTGCGAAATTAAATTTATAGAATTGTTGGAGAGACCAGAGGAACTAAATTTTCTCAGAGGAACTTAATTTTCTCAGAGGAACTTAATTTTCTCAGCTGTTTACTTGACTGTGCAATTGTTTTTTTTAATTTTCATTACAATGATTTTTAATATTTTATTAATTTTTTTGTTTATCTTTTTGTTTATTTTTTTCATTTCATCTTGTAGGACCTCAAGGCCCACCAGGTCCTCCCGGTATACCTGGACGCAGTGGTCCTCAGGGCCCTCCTGGATCGAGCGGTAGGAGGGGAAGAAAAGGACCAAGGGGTGTGCCAGGCCCCCAGGGAAAACGCGGTATAAGAGGACCACCGGGTCCCCTTGGCAAATCAGCACCCCAGAGAACAAACCAGAGCGGTGGAGGTCAGTTAGGTAAGTCATGTTGTGAACATCCATTAATTTTGTTGTTGTTGTTGTTTTTTGAAAAATTTTCTTAACCATATTCACTCAAAAAAAGCCTTTTCATTCTGCTGCTTCCAAAACGCTAGTAACAGATTGTAATTTGTTTTCAGAATTTCCACACTTCATTTCAAAGCCCTCGTCCACCATAACTGTGAAAGAGACACAAAATGTCCTAATACCTTGTAAAGCAAATGGCTTCCCACAACCCATAATCACGTGGTACAAAAATGGACACCTGATAGAACAAGACAGGAGGTACTTTCGAGAAAAGAGTCTAAAACTAAAGAACATTCAATTCGAGGACCGTGGTGTCTACAACTGTACAGCGGAAAATCTCTTGGGCAGAGTTGAGTTATCTGTCAATGTCAGCGTGAAAGGTGCGAGCTCCCTATAACACGATAAATGATAAAAGTTGAGTGAAGTTCCACCATTAAATAGCCTAAGTATTTTCATGCAATTACTCGAACTAACTCAAAGCATTCGGTTTGTTGTCATAAAGTTCCAAATAACTCTACCTTGTGATTTACTTAAAGAAAAGGCGTTTTTTGTTGTGTAAAGGACGAGTGAAAAAACTGCGGGATGATAGATGGTATGCCTCGTACACCTCAATCAAAATCTAGTCTAAGCCGTAAACAGTGCTGATCTATATATCCCCAGAGCAGCATCACAGTGTCTTAGTTTCATGAATTTCCCTTATTTACACTCTATTGAATGTCAAACTTGTTCCAGCTTATAATTTTGATTCTTATGTAATTTTTTTATTTTGATAAACTATTTTCAGTACCAGCAAAATTTGTTACTGAACCTAAGCGTTCTGTAACCGCTTACAAGACTTGGGACACCGTGCTACAATGTGACATCTTTGGGTACCCCTCCCCTGTGATAACATGGACAAGATCAGGCAGGCAGCTCCCCATCAACAGACATGTTATCAATGGTTCCGAACTTACGATTCAAAACACAATAGAGGATGATGATGGCCCTTATGTATGCCACGGAACTAATCGACTGGCAAATGTTATGAGAGTTGTTTGGGTCTTTGTTAAAGTTGTTGGTGAGTTGAGGAAAAAAAAACAGAAACAAGAATAGATTCAACTAAATGTTTCTATCTAACTAAGATCAAAAGAATTGTCCTAATTATTTTGTTTGGCTGTCTCTTAAGTGAATCCTTACATTGTATCCAGTCCTCCCAAAGAAATCAAAGTACAACATGTTGGTGATGCTGTGACATTAAACTGTTCAGCTGGTGGCTCTCCTTTGCCTAAAGTCACGTGGTTCAAAGATGGTCGACGCGTTTTCTCAAGAGCTGCAAATGAAAAGAATGATTTGATAACGAGTGAATTGGTCATTCATCGCTTCAAGCCAAGTGACTCTGGAATCTACACATGTCTATTTTACAACGACAAGAATGTGATGGCAGAATCCAACACAAGTCTTGGTAGATTGCATTTTATTAAAATTGCTAATTGTTCGTTCTTGCTAGCTAACCTTCTGGCATTCTTCTAGCCATTTTCGAGAAAGAGTGCATTACAAAGCAACCATTTAAGTTTAAATCTGGTAACCTATGGTGTCAAAACAAAGTAGAAAAGTGGGGTTATAAATAAAATTTTGTAACACCCAAGCAACTTCTTTATCCCGATCGGTTTTCAGTTCTGAACGTAATGAGCTTTCTAATGCGAAAGAATCTCCAAATTCTTTTCCCTTTTGGATGTAACATTAGGTGCAGTTCTAGGGGAGAGGAGCAAGGGTACGCACCCCTTAACCCCCGTGAGACGACCTGCGGCTTTCTAACATAACTTCATGGTATACATATTGTGCACTCCCCCCCTCCCCCCTAAGAAAAATCCTGGATTCGCCTCTCAACAATTATCCATCTCTATTTTTAAGAGAGGGTGAAAGTTGCATACCTGCAAAATCTCAGTTCTGTCACACTGTATGTTTATACATGAATATCCTATGTTAATCGAAAATCACAGATATTTTTCTATCTTATAACATCATCTTCTCGTGCCAGCCCTCGTCAACTGTGGGGATCCTGGCTCTCCATCAAATGGACGCAGACATGGCTCGCGATACTGGACTGGTGAATCTGTGTCGTTCGTTTGTGATCCAGAATATCACTTAACTGGTCCGGCAACAAGAATGTGTTTAACCTCTGGTAACTGGAGTGGAAGACAACCCTCATGTAAGTAGATTATAGCTAACTTAGACTCACTAATCACCGTAATCTTGGTGTGGAAGTAAGCAACATGTTTGTCAGATGACCATAGATCAAAAGCTTAAAAGCTTCCGTGAATCTTCTTACCTCGGTACTAATCCTAAGGGCATAGATACATACTTATTTAATGTGGAAATACGCTTAGCATAAGAGCTAGTTTACAGGTATTCCACCTAATACCTAATGAAAACCTAACAGCTAACAACGCTAATATCACAGCGGGTAAAATCAGAAATGAAATACTGATTAAAAGCTGTTTAAAACTGTTATTACAATATTATCGCCGCAATCAAAATACTATTAAAACTAACATTACAAATCTACTAATCCCCGAAATTTAACGATCTAATTCTGTTTACTATTTCTTTGGTGCCCGCTTTTATTCTAATGTCATTTTAGAGTTCATTCCATTTCTTGGCTGCAAAATATCTCCATGACTTGAGTCCATATTTGGTAGTGTTAAATTTAGGTAAAGATGAAACATATTCATGGCGCCTGAGATTGTACTTAAATGAGTGTAAGTTAATAAGATTCCTAATTGCCCGTGGTGCTTAGTTCGATATGCTGTTATGTATTGTCAGTAACATGTCTTGAATTCTTCGAGATTCCATGGAGGGTAGTCTTATCCTATCCAAGAGATGCTGGTAAGATGCATGTTTATCATTATAGACATATCTCAACGCTCTTTCATTGACTTTTTCGATTTTTGCAGTGTTTCTTTTTCCGCAATGGTGCCAAACTTGGTTGCAGTAATAAAAATACGGTAGTATCAGTGAACGAACGATATAACGATTCCTTGGTTTTAAGTGGTAAAATATTTTTCAGTTTATTAGGCGCGTTTATTTGAGCACTCACTTTGCGGCAAATACTCGGAAGCAGCCAAACGCCATTTACCTGTAAGAGCTGTATAAGGTATCTGGCCTTCTCGAAGGCCCCTTTAAACAGTCTATACCGCAACCTCTTAGTTTAGACGATAAGATAGATTGAAAAACACTGATGGCATAAGCAAGAACTAAAACCTAGCCAGTACCCGACATATAAACTTTACAGATACTTTTTTATACACAACTGACTTGAACCTTTTTTTTTAAGCAATATTACAAAAAGGGGATAGATCTTAGCTTTAACGTTCTTTTGTTTTACAGCTGACAGCTAACATTTCAATAAAGGCTGATAGTTTCTAGAGAAACTGTTTGGGGCTGCGTCGGTGGGGGTAACGAAATAATTTGAATATATCAACAAAGTTGAAATGGTAAATTGGCCACCGTTACGATTATAAAAGCTGACGTTTCGAGCGTTAGCCCTTCGTCGGAGCGACGAAGGGCTAACGCTCGAAACGTCAGCTTTTATAATCGTAACGGTGGCCAATTTACCATTTCAACTTTGTTGATATATTCAAGCTAACATTTTAGCTGTTGCTGTTGTCGTTATTTGTTTTAAAGGTCGAAGAATTTGCCAATCTCTAGAAAGCCCGGAACATGGTTTAATTCATGGGCGGCAATTTTGGGAAGGAGAACAGGTTTCATTCAGTTGCAGGCCTGGTTACTGGTTAGGTGAATCCCCAGCAGTGCGTCGCTGCATGAAGAATGGTACTTGGACTGGACGTCAACCAAAATGCATTGTGCTAGGTACATTCAGTTAAAAGTTCATCCTTTGACAGTTTACAAGCTTTACAGTAGTATTACCCTAAATATACTCTCTTTGAGGTAAATTGGGGAGTTTCAAACTTGCAGGTAGCTCGCAGTGTAGGCGTCTTATTTGAGCGACTTAAAGTTATGAACTCGTGATCGTTTATCCGAACGCAGTGTTTGATTTGGAGTCAGAGTGGACGGTGGGGGTAGGGGGCGGGGCAAGGTTGGGAAGACGCCTGCCCGAAAAGGCTGTTGAAATGCAAAACACCCCCTGATTAGCTGTGTCTCACTGCATTTCCAGAAATGAGCGGATACTCAATCAAAATTCGTTAATTTAAAAACCGGAAGCACTGTCTTCTGACAAGAACAAACACACGTAATGCCGATGAGTGAAACGATGAGCGGTTTTTTTCTTCGAACAGGAAAGAAATGGCTTCTACAAAACCTACATCCGCGGTCACAAATATCAGCTGATCTTTGCCGCACTCTATATTTTCTAAACGACAACCCTTGCGTGTATTTTTCGTTAATCAATTTGACTATGTTTCTTCGTTTTATCACAAAAGATACTTTGAAGCAAACAAACAACTACGCTCGAAGGTTTACCCGCTAAAATGTGTTTTAAGAAATGGCTTCGCCTACACCTCTTCTGCTGACGCAAACACGAGTTGATATTTGCCGCACTCTGTATCCTCCAAACAACAATCGGTGAGCGTAGCTGCCGTTAATCCCACCGATGATGCTTCTCTTATTTGATCCTAGACAATACTTCGAAGCGGAAAAACGACAAATACGCTTTAAGGTTTTCTCGCCGAAGTTTCTTTAATGCGAACCAAGACCTGAACAGCTGAAAAATCAGGCTTTTCCCAACGCCAGTTGGCAACACGGTCAGTAGGTCCTTTTCAGAAACCAGTGTATAAATTACTTTTCTTTGTTCCGATCTTAATACGCGATACGTACCAATTTGCGAAAGATTAAATGCTTCCTCGAGAGCGGAATCGAAACTTACAACTTCATCTATAGAGTTTGCGATCCTTTTCTCTTTCCCGCAAGAGCTAAATGTCCGAATGACGCGTTTGGCATCTGATTGACACCTAGAGTAAAATGGCACCAATCAGAAACTCTGTTCGTGGGCGAACGAAGTTTTCAAAAACAACCATGATGAGTTCGAGCAGGCGTAATATTCACCCACCCACATCAGTCCCTCTCTTTATTTTTGATCGCCACCCACCCCCTTGGCACAAATTACTTTCTCTCCCCAGCCTTCCGCTGCCATTAAAATCGAAGATGGCGGCCATTTTTCGCTAAAAAGTACTGAGCACTCGCTCGCCCAAATTACGCCTGCTCTGTAGGCAATTTGGCAGGTGGAATGTTTTGAAAAAAAAAAACATAACACACGTAGGTATGGAATTTCCATTTGGCTGTTCAACTCGCCGGATATGTCACGAGTGAACACAGTAAACAGCCACGTATTATTTTGTTTATTTCATATGCACCACAAGCGCTTCCTGACAAAAAAAATTCAACTTTACCCTGGATGAACGCTTTGCCATTCATTCATCAACCTTACCGAGTGGCGCGAAAGGAGATTGACATGTCAGCAGATAACTAGCGATAACGTAAAAAATTATTGTGTTTTTACAAGTGTATATTTACCGTTTTTCTCAGGGCTGGAAATCCTTGTAAAACACTGCAGTTTAAATGAAAATAGGGACTACTGTATTTTTCAATTGAGAGAAAAGGCAAAGTAAGCGTTTCTTTTCAAATAAGCGCCCCTCTTCGAAAGTCAGCACCTTCCAATATCGTTGTTTGATTTTTAATCAAGTATTTCTATATACTCTTAAGGTTCAAGTATGCCATCTGTTGTAATCCAGAGATATGACTTGATCTTGAGTCTTCGTCAAATTTTGGATTCCGTGGCTGGTTCGCACTCTCACTGGAAGCTTTGTTACCGCGCCTCCTCTCATGGCTGGGCAGCAGGAACATTCCACACCCTTTGTAATGGAAAGCCACACACTGTTACTATAATACGAAGAAGCCCGTACATTTTTGGAGGATACACAGATACTGCTTGGGGTAAGAAAATATCCGACGATAACAATAAACGAACTACCCTGCTGGCAGAGGCGTTTATTTGTTAACTTCCCCTGCGGTCCACGTAAAAATAAAGTCCTCTGCGCTCGGCCTGTTAAATCTTCTTCGAGCATGCGCGGCCTGTTGCTTAGAAACAAATTAGTTCTCGGTAGTACTCGGCCAACTATATAGCTAAATAGGATGCGTGTGCATAAAAACGTGTTTAAAGCAGGTTCTGACCGGTTTTGCAAATCAGATTATCCACAAACTTGGATAATTTCCAGGGGCATTCTCGAAGAAGATTTAACAGGCCGAGCGCAGAGAACTTTATTTTTACGTGGACCGTAGGGGAAGTTAACAAATATACGCCTCTGCCAGCAGCGTATAAACGAACTAGTCAGTAAAGAGAATCTTTGAGCCCAAAAGTAACAGTCGAGCATGTAGTTTAATCGCCTAACTTAAGGCTGTTCTGAAAAAGACTTTTGTCGGTGACAGTTACTGACGATAAGCTTGAGAATAGGTTATCATCAGCTGAGTCAAGTGAGGAGCTGTTTTTCAGTCGAGTAGCAGGAGTCTGGTTCTTTAAAGCTCCAGTATCGTTGAGCCGCTTTTGTACATAAGCTTTGAAGAATACTTCATGTTACCTCACTTTGTTACAAGGGATCACAATAAGGGTCCATAGAAGTGTTCTTTTGATAAAAAACGATCGTATTCAAATAGGGGCCAACTAAAAAAGGCGATTAAAACATTTAAAAAAAAGCGTAACGGACTTTTCAGCAATTAACTTTAGAATGAAAAAATCAACTAGATTTGCTTCTTGCCTGGATAATAACTATTTTTTGTATGAACGGAGTTTTAAAAATACTCAGTTTCGGAGAGTGAGCTGTAATGTTTTCTTTGTTCGGAGTTGATTCCTACCAACATGATGCACAGAGCGAGAACAAGAGTGGCACAGGCAAATAAGTCACAGCATTGAAATCAGGTTATTGTGTCCACCGGTGTCCCAACTTTCAACCTCAGGTAGATATTTGCGTAACGGCTCAATAATGACAGTGTTTTCACAAAGTTCACTACAGTTACTTTTATTGTCGCAACCATCATTATTACTTTTGCTCTCACTTTCCACTGAACCTCATAATGACAACCCCCTCATTGTTAAGTAAAAAAGGAAACCCTGTCGTTTTTTACTAACATCCTTGAACCGGCCTATCTGTTTCTATTCCCTTACCTCCTCTACTCCCCGTTTCCTTTGATAAAGACCATTGGCAAGTTGTTGTAAATTTACTCAACCGTAACTTGGAGGAGTTTTTGATAAAGGCTGATAGTTTCGAAAGAAACTGTTTGGGGCTGCGTCGGTGGGGGTAACGAAATAATTTGGATATATCAACAAAGTTGAAATGGTAAATTGGCCACCGTAACGATTACAAAAGCTGACGTTTCGAGCGAATAGAGGAATTGTGGGGGTGAAAAGAATTGACTGCGGTTATGAATTGAGTGAGCTCCTCTCTGGTAGAGGAGGTAGCGCCGATACAGTCGTCGATGTAGCGACCGTAGAGTTCAGGTTTGGACCCGTTGTATTGGCTGAAAAATTGATGTTCGACAAAACCTACAAAAAGACTGGCATAGCTAGGTCCCATTTTGGTGCCCATGGCTACACCATTGGTTTGTTTGAAGAAGTTGTTTCCGAATGAAAAACAATTGAGTGTGAGCACTAGTTCGGCTAAGCGTAGTAGTGTTTCAGATTTAGGTTCCTTATCAGTACGTTGATAAAAAAAAAAATGTTTAAGGGCCAGAAGGCCTTCGCCATTAGGAATGACAGTATAAAGAGACGTAATATTGATAAGGTTGGGTGAAGTAAAATTATCCAACTAAAGCTCTGCTCCTAAACTTGGCTGTATCTATATACTCATGGCTCAAGATTGTATTCTATTTTTTTTGGGGGGGGGGAGGGGTTTAACTTTCCATAATTCCATAAACACTTCACTCCCAAACCTCATTCCTTCCTTTCACCATATATCAGTTTTTTTCTTACCTCTTTCAACCAATCGGTCTTGTTTTTCTTCTATTTCGTATGATCCTGTACTCATTGTTTATTGCCTTTTTTATCATTTAGCACCCCGGCTACAAAATCTGTTTCCATTTCCAAAGCATTCACATACCTACACTTTTTGTCGTTATTTTATTTCGTATTCAGGTTCAAGTGGTGGATACAGTCACTCTTCCAATGCTTTCATATTTTCCCTCATCAACAAAGAAGGACTGCCACCATTCAACAGCATGGTGAAATGTCCAATTGATGCAATTTATAGGTTGTCAACTTATGGCCCAACATTTGGTGGAGGAAATTCAATCCACATCAGCAATAATGCCAACAGTAACACTAAATCATACACTGATTTTCATACCAGCTACTACCACATACCAGATGGAGTGCAGAACTGGAAAACAATCCTTGCTGGATCTTACAGATTTAGCCCTGATGAGGTGGAGGTGTTTTATCTCGCCTGAGTCACAGCACATGAAGAACGTGCATTGAGAAACCAAACTGAGACGAATCTGTCACTAATTGATCTAGTCGTTTAAATTCTTTTTTTTTTTTTTTCCTTTAAGCAAAAATAGGGTGCTTTGCCACATGGCAAAGTTAGATTTTTATTCAATCAGTTAGCGATTAGCAACTAGCGCCTCACTGAAAATATGTTCAATCAAACTGCAAAGATAGGAAAGAGATGTGTCGCAGATAAAGACTAAAACAAAACTTGTGTCCAATCATGTTGGCACGATTTTTCAGGTGTTACTAGCTTTTTGTTAGCAATTTCGACAGTTTTCCATAAGAATATAAATATAGAGGCAAGACCGATACAACGTAGATAAGTTTTGAGACGGAGCACTATATTTCGGCTGGCCAAACCAGCCTTCTTCAGGTGCAGTGGGAATTGACAAAGAATTAAGGTGGTACTTAGATAGCTGTATGATGTAATAGCGGAAATACGTAAAACTAATTTGATTGACAATGAGACAATAATTAAAAATTGAAATAGTAAATAAAAATAGAAGTAAAGTGAGGTAAATTAAATAACTAGAAGTAAGAATAGTAGAAGGAAAAACACTAATACATTTCTTCGCGAGCCTTAAGGCCATCGGGATAAATAGTGTTGCCTCTTGAAATTAAAAGCTTCCCTGACCTTGCGGATCGAGTCTCTCTCGGAAAACACTTTTTCGAAGGCGATAAGCTCCATGTCGTAAGCAAAGTGGTTGGGAGAGGAAAGGAAGTGTTCTGCGACTGTAGTAGGTTTAGATTTAGAGTTAGGTTTATCAGGGGTACGGTGGTGTTCATTAAAATGGTCTTTTAAACGTCGTTTAGTTTCTCCTATGTATTGTAAGTTACAGCGGTTACATTGAATCAAGTAGATAAGGTTTTTAGTGTCACAAGTCAAGTGAGATTTAATAGTACGTGTTTCGCCAGTAGAAAAAAAGGTTTAGTTAGTAAGTCCGTCAGAGATATAGGGACAAGTAAAGCAGTTACTACCACAACGGAAAGAGCCAGGGGGGAGTTGAGGATGGGAAGTGGTAGAATTGAAGGGGAGTTTGGCTGTAACTAATGTGTCGCGAAGGTTGGGGGAGCGTCTGAACATTAACTATGGTCTGAACGCAATAACTGGCAGCCGAGGAAAAGCTCTTTTGCAGCGGTTAGAAGACAGCAGCAAATGCCAGTGTTTTTTGATAATGTTGGAGATGTGAGGAAGCGACGGATTAAAAGTAGTTATAAATTGAATGCGGTTAAGTTTTTTTACGTCTTTGGTTTGAAAGGTGAGTGTGCGGGGGATGTCAGCGGCGCGTTGTATTTGTTTGGTGACGAATTTATGGCTGTAACCTCGTTTGAAAAGGTATGTGGTAAGTTCAGCGGCGCGAGTCTTAAAAGCTTTGTATGTTGAACAGATGCGTCGTAGGCGGAGTGCTAGACTGAACGGAATGGTTTTTAACGTTTGTAATGGATGGCAAGAAGAGTACAATAGATACATATGTTTGTCTGTGGGTTTGGTGTGGAGGTCAGTGGAGATATCACCGTAGGTGCTTAAAGAGACACTAACGTCAAGAAAAGCCACGTTAGTGGAAGAGTGTGAGCTGGTGAATTTGATCGTGGGGTGAATATTGTTGAGATAATAGACGAATATTTTCAGGTATAAGATACAATGAATATATCTAATAGCGCTATCTACTGCGAAGGATCGTGCATCATACGTATTTTCAGGTATCTAAGTCTAAGTACCACCTTAATTCTATGTCAATTCCCACTGTACCTGAAGAAGGCTGGTTTGGCCAGCCGAAATATAGTGCTCCGTTTTAAAACTTATCTACGTTGTATCGGTATTGCCTCTATATTTATATTCATTATTTTGGGCCGATTAGATCACTGCTGATCCAATGTACAAGAGTAGGATTATCGTCCACGGATGCTTGCTCAACATTTCTATAAGAACACTTCAGAGAAGTACGACTCCGACGAGTCAAAGTGGAATAGAATCAAACTTACCTTAATCACCTTAATAAGTTGCAGCCGAAAAAATCTTCAGGAGTCGTAGGATGTCTGCGCAGACTTTATTTAGAAAAGCTAACGTTTTTTAAAAAAAATGATTCATGAATAAAACATTCGATATAGTTTTTGTGATGTATGTCTTCTACAACCGTTAAAAACTTATGCGCGACGTTGGCCGTTGTTCTCTTTGTAATGGTCTCCCCTCCTTCGTTAAGATCTATTTTACGCTTATCGAGCATGCAGAAAAAACAATTTACTGTACATATTGTTGTGTAGGGATCATTGAGTGTTATGGGAGTAAATTTAGGAAGACTCCAGCAATATTTCATACGTGGATGAAAAGGAGTAATTTAGTTAAAAAAGAGTTTTGCATAAGAATTTCAATTTGATTTTTTCCTTAATTCACTTCTAATTTCAGTTTTCAAGTTGTAATAAAAAATGGATTACGAAAAACAATTTTGTCTATGTAGCGTTTCTTTTTACTTCATTTCCTGCATAGTATCTTGTTCAACCGATTACTGTCAAATAGTTTCTTTTTTGCGAAAAAATTTGTTTCCACTAGAATCGATCCGCTTGAACGGCAAATATGTGCTCCTACAAAGAACATAAGAAGTCTCTAATCCGCAAAATTTAACTTCCGAAAACATTATCAAATTTCAAAACATGCAAGCTTTACCATGTTCAAATTAAAACATCCCTCATGGAGGTATCATGCGATCACCAAGTCAAGCACCTGACAAGGGGCGTGACCTGCAGGCGACACATCATACGTTACGTATGATGCACGATCCTCGCAGTAGAGAGCGCTATTTATGCAATAGCGAAAATCAGACCTGAAAAAAATCAGGCCTGTACGGGATTCGAACCACTGACCTCTGCGATACTAATGCAGCGCTCTACCAATTGAGCTAACAAGCCAACTGGGAGCAGGCCGTTAAGTTGATTCGTAATAAACCCGTGATGATAAATCAGATACAATGAATATATGAAGTTCATATATTTTGAACTGCGGTATTAGATACGTATGATGCACGATCCTCGCAGTAGAGAGCGCTATTTATGCAATAGCGAAAATCAGACCTGAAAAAAATCAGGCCTGTACGGGATTCGAACCACTGACCTCTGCGATACTAATGCAGCGCTCTACCAATTGAGCTAACAAGCCAACTGGGAGCAGGCCGTTAAGTTGATTCGTAATAAACCCGTGATGATAAATCAGATACAATGAATATATGAAGTTCATATATTTTGAACTGCGGTATTAGATACGTATGATGCACGATCCTCGCAGTAGATAGCGCTATTTAAGCAATAGCGAAAATCAGACCTGAAAAAAATCAGGCCTGTACGGGATTCGAACCACTGACCTCTGCGATACTA